GTGATTTTCAACAATTAGGGGTTTCCGACCTGATTCAACATAGTAATTTTTTATATCTATATATATTTTTTGGAGGTAAACCGCAAGTTAATGCCATGTCCACTCAAGGGCACTTGAGATATGTTTGTCTTATGTGATTAACGCAAAAACCACATTTTTTCATTATAATTTTCACGAAATAATAACTTTTTCGCGTTACTCACAACTTTGGGGATGTTTTTGGGGAAGGGGGGCTAGACTTCAATGACACACAAAAACACATAAAATAAACGATATTGCATGAAAACCGCATTGATTTACGCACATTTAAAGCCAAAAGACGTGGTTGTATGTTGAAATGACAAATTTTGTGCACTGCTGCCTTTATAACGTTTTCGATCGCGCTCGATCGATCGGTTCTTCAGCCACATTTACCTAGATAGGCAAAACTTTCTATTTTCTGAATTTGAACCAGAATTTTGGGAATTTTCAAAATCTAAATACCAGGTGACTATATTTTAAAAGAGAAAATATACACCAATTAGTACACTATATTTTGAGAGTCAAAAAAATGTAGGGTATTAAACCATCGTAACAATATAAAAATACAGACATGAAGCAATAACCTACAAAAGCAAACTAGAATTTTTCATTTCTTTTGTATATGAATTATATATGCCCACCAAGAATTATCTGATAAGTTCATTATGAGAAACGAGCAAGGCTGAACTCCACTTTAGCGCATATCGCAAATATTTCATTTCTTATTTTAAAATTAAAGATTAGGATGTAACTTGTACGAAAACATCAGCTTTTCTTTAAGGAAGCCTCTGCTTGCTATTTTATAGAACTTCAAAGTTGTATTTTGGGTGGTAATTCTCTAAAATAGAAATCTGTTTGTTTCATAAGACGTTTTTTTTTGCTTTTTGCACAAAAAAATGCTCTAAGCTATAAAAATATAACATACAATGTATATTATTATGACAATATTCATTGCAATAATGCAATTTTGCATTATTTTAATGATGAAAATAGGTTATCGTTAAGAGGTTAAGTAGTAATTACTTTTATATTATATACATAAATTCCCCATCTAGTTGCAATGTTGCCAAATCATTGATAGTTGGTGTCGGCTAATACAGTAAAACAAAAATGTGGCCGGGAATTAGAATTTGATTTGTGTATCTTAGTGCAAAAATTTGCATTCAGCACAGGATTGCCATACAAATGCGATTTGGAGGTGTGGCTGGCAGGTTTTACTGTACTAAATCTACCTCCTGCTTTAGCTAAATGCACTTTTCCTCTTCATAAAATACCTTCTTCTATAATACAGTATAAGTCATTTATTTTTTTGTATGTCTATACTTGAAGAATTATTTAGTGTGAAGCCGATGTTACAAAAAATACCTAATTAAATGTAATGTATAGAGTATATAATTTATTTATAAAAATGTGGCCGGGAATTAGAATTTGATTTGTGTATCTACTTGAAGAATTATTTAGTGTGAAGCCGATGTTACAAAAAATACCTAATTAAATGTAATGTATAGAGTATATAATTTACTGAAAAAGTAGCAATTGCTAGTTACTGAATAATGAAAACATAACAAAGATGAATAATCATAGTCAGAAAAAGAGATTTCAGTATAAGAAATGTGTTATATTGAATTAGTTTTTTGATGATTTGATGAAATGGTTGTTGATCATATGTTGGGTGAACCTGGCGATTTGGTACAAATCGACGAATCGAAGTTTGGTTAGCGCGATATAACTAAGGTCGCAACGTCAAAGGCCACTGGGTACTAGGAATGATGAAAAAATCGGAAAGAGAAAATGTCAGGACGGTGGAGGTGTCAGAGACAAATACCTAGCTGCTTATCCCATAATCCAATGATATGCCCGTCCTGGATCTAGATATCTTTTTTTTATTGTTTATTATTATTAATATTTACCAAAATGAAACAAATATTGACCAATTAATAATAAAACAACAATATAATTCCTCTTCACCAATGACATCCCGATGACAGAAAGATGCACCTAGATGATTCAAACTATCTGCATGTGCTTTCATCATCGGGCTTACAAATGAAAAGAAAATACCATTTACTGGATTTTAAAAAACAATAATCAACCCCAAATCCCAAACAATCAATCAATCATACTATGATACAAAAACATCATCAACCTTTCACATTGCTCAGCATTCTCAAAAATATATTCTCCGCAGCTGGTGCTAAATGTTTTGATATTTTTCATCTTTTTTTAGTGTTCTGGCAGAATGTTATATATATTTGGTCCTATACACGTTATGTATCTTAAGTTTATTATTATTATTCTTGAGAATTTCGATTTGCCTGACCACATTTGCACAAGTACCATAGTTATGACTTACTTGTTTCTGTAATTTTTCATTTCTATAAATAAAAGTACACATTGTCATCACATACAAGGCTCTAATATTACATACATCCTTTGTAAAAAGTTTATTAGTGGGGAATCTTTTATCTTTCATAAAAATAATTTTAATAATATATTTCTGAATAATAATGCGTTTATGTAGAGGATTATTATACAATCCCCCCCATACTAATATACGATATCTAATTATAGATTCAACAAATGCTTTATAAACTATTAATTTTTTTTATCTCGAGGAACTCTGCAGTAGATCAAATTTAAGGATTAATTTTTCTCGATACATAATCAACATGGGAATTTTTTAATTCTGGGAAATCAAACTCAGAAATTGCAACTTTGTTAGACTTATCATGGTACAGTGTGAGAAATATTGTTAGAAGATATAATGTAACTAGTTCAGTTAATATTAAGCCACGATATGTAAAAAAAAGTAATATCACAAATGCCAACTGAAGAGCATTAAGAAGAATAATCGTGAAAAACAGGAGTGCCAATTATTGACAATTAAGTGCTCTGTGGCGTGACGCTGTTGGAAGGAGAATTTCGAGGTCCACAACACATAGAGAGGCCCACAAACTGGGATTTAGCACTTGCAAGGTAAGTTTTCTTATAAAAAAAAAGGTGAAGTAAAAACCCTAAAGTTGCACAACTTGTTTATAGGCCAAAGATAAGCCACTACTGACTCTACTGCAAAAGAAAAAATCGCCTTAGATGGGCTAAAGAACATAGACAATGGACACCCCAACCATGGTGTGTAATACAATGGAGTGATGAGGCCCGATTTGAAGTTTGTGTTGGTGACAGTCGCAGTAGAGTTATTCGCAAAAAAAATGAAGCATTCCATGGTGACTGAAGAGAAAAGTGAAATTTCCAGCATCCATTATGGTCTGGGGCAGTATGTCATCAAAAGGAGTAGGAAAACTTCATTTTATTGATGGGAATGTGGATACAAACAAATATTTGGCAATTTTAGAAGAATCGCTTTTACCAGTGATGGAAGAATGTTTGACATCCGGCTAAGATTTTGTGTTTCAGCAAGAAGGTGCAGCGTGCCATACCTCAAAAAAGGATATAAAATGGATGGAAGAAAATAATGTACCACTTTTGTGGCATGAGATGAAAAAGGTTCTACGACAACGTCCTGCTTGTACAATCACCAAACTGAGACAAAAGCTTCAAGAAATATGGGATTGTTTTACACCCAAATTTTTGCCAAAACTTGGTTAACACTATGCCCCAAAGAATTTCAGCCGTAATAAAAAATAAAGGTAATGTTACCCAATGGTAATCTTTCAATTGTTGCTTTGTTAACATTTATTCGCACATTGTTTATTGTTCAGATGTTCTATTAGTTATAGGTCTAAGTGATTTCAAATATGTATTTTTACGACTAGAGTATCTAAAATGTCTTTGAGAAAATAAATTGTTTTAGAAATAGTTTCGTCATGTTTAGTTTATAAAGGCATATTTTGGTACAAATCTTGAAGTGGGAAGGGGCTCATATGTCAAGAAATGAAGGATATAAATTAACCCTTGAAAATCGTTTCTACTTTCAAACATTTATTATAAACCCAAATATTTATATTTTCGTACAAATCTTGAAGTGGGCCAACTGAAGTGGGAAGGGGCTCGTATGTCAAGAAATGAAGGATATAAAATGACCCTTGAAATCGTTTCTACATTTATTATAAACGCAAAAACTTTGGATCTCACCGAAAATACACGAAAAATATGGTTAAGGAGTTTCAAGAAGTCATTGAAAAATGACAACACAATACCTTTCAGTTACTGACAACACGGCCAGTTTGAAACTTTATAGTTTTCACATCTATTTTCCTTAATAAATTATCGTTTCTACTGGTTTATTTGATTTTTCCGAAAAAAAAAACGGTCTATATGCTCCAAGCGTATTCTTACCACGAGCAAATCTCCAGAGATCGCTTATAAATACAGGAAAGGTGGGATATAATTTCCCAAAACCCAATTCCAGAACTTTGAGATACCGGCTCAAGTAATAAAGTATAGCTGATTGATCATAGGCCTTTAAGATAACATTGCACAATTTAAATATCGCATTACATTTGCGCTTTTATCAGTTTCGATCTTATGAGTCATATAAAAACATGCAGATTAAAGAAAGTATAAATCCATTGGATTTTGACCTTTCAGAATGCAACTGAATTTTTAATGACGTAATATCCGAAAAAGTGGACTAAATTTGGCGGGGAAAAATGAATAATTAAATTAATAGTGTACATCAATAGGCGTTAGATACAAATTAGTGAAACAGCTTAAAGTTGGGTGAATTTATTTTTGTTAAACATTTTCCAAGCATTCAACATTCAATCAATATTAGCAGTGACGTAAAACTTTCTATCGACTGCGAGCTCCTCGAATTTGGGCGACGCGCCATCACGTTATAAAAACGATTAAAATTGTAATACAAAATATTTTATTGAGCAATCTGTTTATCTTATGCCAGGGCATCAAAATGAAACTTATAAATTATATTTAGTTACAAGGAAAATAAATAAAAAATATGAAATCAACAAAGGAATATTTGGAGCCGCCATTACGTTTTCCGCTGGCCTGAAACTTACCATCATGTAATCACAAATTATTCCAGTGGGAAACGGTCATCCGTCGTTAAAAACAGCACTATTGTATTCCTTGTACCTCGATCTACAAATAGGTACCTCACGTTATTTGCGAAATCTTAACTATATCTGATATTTTCACATTTTACGCGCTCACAGCAAGGACACAATCTGCCTACAACATGGCGACGGCTATTCTTTCGCAAGACAAAACAGGGGGCATCCACAAAACGCCCAAGCTGCTCGAACGATTACGAAGCAACAGCGCATGCGCTGACAGTAAAAATAAGCCAACTGCACATATGAGATGAGATCTGAACCGTCCTTTTTTCAATTTTGGGTTGCAAAGTGTTAAAATTTGTCGAAAACTATTGTTTTTGGAAAAACCGTCCCTAAAAACTAAAAAGTTGGCGTTTTCTTATGTTTGACGTTTCTAAGAGAAATGTGGAAAACTGTGATTTTGTTTCCATGACGAGGTTGATTGACAGTGGGACATGAATAATAGCCCAGTCAGAATAGATGCTTTGAGTCAGGTTAGTATTCCTGTGGGTGTGGGTTGATTCTTGAGGTAGGAAATAAAATAACTGAGAGACAATTGGCGTTGGTCTACTACCTTTCAGGGAACTGCATTCCTGCCACTGATAGAAGAGTCGCTGCCCGAGTTATTCTCGGAATAAAAAATATGGAAGACTACCGTCGTCTCTGGTCTCATCTCTAAATAAGTTAACCGTTAAATCGGGATGAAACTGTCAAAGATATGAAGATTATAGGAAGATATTTATTATTATCATCATCATATCAGTTTGTTTGAAAATTAATGCATTCACAAACTATTTGACAAAATGTCAAATTTGGAATCATTCCATCACACACCCCCTGTTGTTTAAAATTAATATCCTCATTTTAGGATAAAGAATAACTTTTTGCATTCCTTCATTTGCAATCGCAGATTTGAGATCGAACAGTGCCGCAATAGCGACTCAAAGACGAGTAGGTAGCATTGATTTTAAGATTCGATTCGACATTTATATGCATCAGACGATCCTCGACGTAGAGTTCCAAATAAAGATTTTCTGATGAACGGTAAAAGGCAGTAATGCGTAAAAAACGAAGTCTGAGGAAATAGAAACTAACTAAATATGTTTATTTCGCACACACAAAGGTGAACGAATATTGCAAAGCTATATGACTATATTCATTTAGATGTGATTTCAGCATGGGTATTACGTATCTTGAAAAGTGACATTATGCCGGTTTGTTTGACTTTGTATTGTTTTTTGTAACATAATATAGGTTTTCTACAATATTTTAACTTAGCACTTAGTTGTAAGTCTTGCCTAAAGGTCATGAGGTTTCAGTTATCTATGTTTGGCTCTGATGTGGTGTAAAATCTGCTTCAGAGATGGCATTACTGGAGGTCTAAGCTGTAAGTTGTATGTCTTTAAGATAATTTCATTGGATTTTTGTCTCAAATACATTTACTTGAGATTCAAAGTTAGAAATTAGTTGCTCATCTACTTTTTCTTATCCATTCTGGAAATTACATATGCAAATTTGCTGGATTTCAAAAATGAGAGAGATAAGAAATAATTATATTCACTCTACACAGTAGAATTACAAGTCATATACATGCT